TTTAATTTTTTGGCATTTATGACAAATTATTACCATTATTTAAAATTTGAACTTTGACTCGAAATATTAAGTGTAAATTATAACTTGAGTTATGAAAGTGGGCCTTATGTAGAACTGAACCTTATGGATTTGTTTTTTGTATCCTCAGAAAAATATTTTTTAATAAGGATAGCTTTAATCCTGAGGATACACCTTATCCTCAAGAAACCCTTTATTTATTTCCTTTTCAATTTTTTAATTCATTAATTATTATTTTTTTTTATTTTTAATTATTTTTTGATTTGAATTTTATTTTTTTTGACAATATTGATTTAACTATTGGAAAAATAAATCTTTGCTAAGGAAATGTAATATATTTTAACGAAATTACTATATTTTTCTTAAAAAACAAATATTATAGAAAATTGACTTTTATTTTGGTATAGTTTATTATAATAATATAACAATAGAAAATAATTTGTTTTTTTTTCGGGTTAAGGTTAATTTTTTGGGAGAAGTTTTAATTGCCCAACTGTAATTATGTTTTATAAATTTTTACATTGTTTTTTAAATTATTTTACTAAATTATATTTATTATTATATTATTTTTATTATGTTAAAAATCCATTATTTAAAACTTAAAAATTATTATTTTTTTGTATTATTTTATAATTATTCAGGAAAAAATTATTTTGTTAAGGAATATATTCAAAAATTTTTCTTTTATTTTACATTTTTGATGAATTAATATAATTATTATTATAAAATGTATGGTACTGTTTGCTTTTAATGCAGAATATGCTCTGTAAAGACTTATTTGTTTGAAATGATATTATGTATTATACTTTATATAATAATTTTATTCTTTTAAACTAAAAACAAAAAAAGATAAAAAGACATTGTCATTTTTTATTTTTTTTGTAAAAAACGTAATTAAACATAAAGGATAAAACTTTTTAAACAATAAAACTTTTATTGTTCAAAATGGATTTGGTAGATACACAAAACTGTATTAATAACGTCTTTCGTTGTTTTTTAAACAAAAAAGACACAATAAAAACAAGATAATTTCGATAATATTTGTCATACATCGCTTAAACAATGGACATCAATATTATTACTAAAATAAATAAAACGAAATAAAAACAATGCAACAATATAATTTCACAAAATCAGATATGATATATATATTTAATATTTATTTATCAATTTACTTATTGTTGAATTCGAAGCCGCTTATTATCAAAAAGAAAACGTTGAAAAAGTTCATTTTATTTGTTGTTTAATTTGTTCAAAATAAATTTAAAGAGTTGATTGATAAATTTATAATTTTTACAAAAGTCTTGTGAT